CGGCCTGCCGGAGGAGGGCGGCTGAACGCCAGCATGGGCCGTCCTCCGAGTGTCTGAGCAATCTAAGCAACACGACCACCACAATCCATTCCTGCCGACCCCGAGCTGGAGAATCGGCAGCGTGCGTGGAGAGCCCGCAGACTCCACCCGCTTTCTCCCGTCTCAGCTGGCACCGTTCCCTCCTCTGTGATCCGACGCCGCGCGTGTGCAGAAGGACCAGGTGTGGCGTCTGGGAGCAGGTGCCCTGTGTGGGAATGGTGCCCCGCATGTAGCACGGGTCTATGCCGGCAGCTCCCTGCACATGACCGTGACGTTCCGGGTGACGGCGACCGCTGCCTTCCGTGCCACACCTTTGTCACTGGCGGTTCGGAGGCCTGCCTCTCACTTGCTCTCATCCCGCTGCAGTGTGCTCTGTACCTCTCAAAACCAGGAAAGAGAGCTCTCAGTGGGAACAAGAAGAGGGAACGTGGGTTACGGGTCAGGGGACATAGCGTGAGTAGCCTCCAACCGCTGTCACCGTGTCACCCTCTGCAGTTTGCACTGGGCATGTTTTTTCAAGTTGTGCCAAAGAAGGCGGGTATATTAGCACCTGTGGGCACTCGCTGGCTGCCCGGGGCAGACAAGCTGCGGCGGAAAGCCACATGCTCCACCGGGGAGCACCGAACACTGTCCTCCGCTCCGGATTCCAAAGCTCAGAGCGTCTTAAGTCCACCGCTAACTCCCGTCTCATCCCCAGGCTAGAAAGGACTCCTCATAGAGCAAGTCACAGGACCATGTTCGGGACGCGGTGGACAGGGCCACCAGGCTGCAGTGACAGCTCACACCTAAAGTCCACACCCAGGACCAGGCCTCATGCCTGCAGCGACCTTGCAGTGATGACAACTTCAACTCCTGGGGTGATGACACCTCCCGGGGTGATGACGCCTCCCAGGTGATGACACCTCCTGTGGCGATGACACCTCCTGTGGCGATGACATAGCATCAGCATTCATTGCATTTTGCCTATCAGGGAGAGCTGGGACCCAAGGAAGCTTCTGGAATTAGCCCCACAGGGGACGGGTCCTCAGTACTCGGGAGACTGCATGTCTCCCAGATGCTCCAGTCTCCTTGCAACTCCGTCTGCAGGAAGGAGGCCCCTATACCAAAAGGGTTTTCCATCTGTCAGTCTGCTTGTAATCAAAGTTTCCAGAAAACCCAATTTGCATAGACTGTGCTTTTTAAAAATACCAGCAGGCCCGAGAGACTTTCCGAAGGACAAGTGGAAGGAAGTCATTTGAGGGAACGACAGGCAGAGGAGAGGGACAACAGGAGGAGGGCGAAGCTGTCGTCCACAGCCAGAGAAGAGCGGCTACCCGGGAAGCCGTCCTGCCTTAGCCCGGG